TTAATTATTTTTGAGTGGAATTGAATTATATACGTGGAAGTGTTCGTATTTTAATTACAATTCAAGCGTATTTAATAAATCGGGCGTTAATCGAAACGAGGCATGGATAATTCACATCGAAATTATGAATACGTGCGCATTTTCTGTCGCTAATTATAATTATTTATTTGCTGTTTGTCAAACAAAAGGCAATCGTCGGTCGAACGTTCGTTCTCAATCGAATCGTTCGCGGGACAGACGAATCAGACAAAATTCGAAAACACGTCGGCATAATTGTGCTCGCGCTTAATTTAAATTCGCGATGATAATCGACGGTCATTAAACGACTGGTCACGATTCCCTCTCATTGTTCGATAAGCAGCTACGTCGCTGGTTTTGGTTTAAATTTAACTTAACGGCTGAACAGTTTCAGCGTGATTCGTGAGAAGATGCGAGCGCACCGAATCCTCTTTCGGTCGTAATTAAAGTTACCGTTCATGTAAATCGGACATGTTTGTCATCGTCATTATCGCAACTTCCTTTCACCAACATCGAAACCCAGTCAGCAACAAGCCCGAAAATAACAAAAATTCCTTCGCGATCGCTTCACTGTACGTGGAAGCACTCCACTGCAGAACCATCGAGTGGCAAAAATCGCAGTTCAGCTGAATCGATTTTTCCCCGGCGCGGTGGCGGTGGAAACCTATGAACTTTCGATCCATCGCTTTTTTCGGAAGCCGTCGACTTACAGGCTCGCCGGAAGCAGCGGCCGTTTTACGGAAAACGATTTGAGAACCGCCGCTTTAAAGCCCCACTTATCGAGCGCCTAGTTGGTATGATAATGTAATAAAATAAATGGAGGTTGCTGTTTCCGAGCGATATAGACCCTCCGCCTCTCCGTTCCACCCCCTGGCAAACCCGCGAGCCACCCTCTTTCGCCCTCTTTCTTCGTTGCTCACCGCCACTTTCGATTCCTCCGTCTCGGTTCGTCCTTAGCCGTCGTCCGGGCTGGTCCTGGACTCCTCGCTCGGATTCATTTCAGCCAGTCCTCTCACCCTGCGCCCCACACGGGCTAGCAGGGGGTTGAAACGGGAATCGAGAAGGTAGAAGGGAATGGAGCTTACCTCGAAAGCGAAATACAACAAGTCCCGCCGCCATTGCTGGCTCACCCTTCAACGGGAGTTTTGTCGTTGCGTGGGAGGGGGCTTTGACAGCCCTGTGCGACGAGTCATCCCCTTTCGACCCCGACTGCCTGGATTCAACCAAGAGGTGGGGGTTTTGCCGGAAGACAGAGGGACGAAGAGGAGGAATCGAGAGAGACGGGACACGTTTATCGTGGGAGGAAGTAGGAAGAGTGACAGGCACGATTTAAGGAGAAGCAAACGTAAACCTGGGTAAGCTTCAGAAGAGAACAAAATCGGAGCACCCTTCAAAAAAAAATTGGAGATGTTGTTACAGGTCTTCTTCAGACCTTCATTCAGCGAATGAAAGTCTGTAACTGTGGATTATTAAACAAAACATTGTAGCTTTTATGTTTGAAAAATGTTACTACATCTTAAGAACTTTTATCTTATTTATTTTTGTTTAACGAAAACAAAACGTATCATTTTTTGGTCTTGGGCCAACTTGAAGATAATATAATTGCTTAATGCATAGTTGCTGCAAGATCAAGACACGTTTCCATTGTTCGTAAAAACTACTTTATTTTTACTTATTTAACCTGTACACCACGAGTTAGAAAGGGATGCTTATTGTACAGGGGGGCTGGTGGTCCTATCGACGCGCCTGAAGGCGAGGTAGAGAGAGTTAACACTCGTGGGATGGAAAGAGGGATGAAAAAGAGCATAGTTTGCCACAGGGTGGGGGAAGCGGCGAAAAGGAGGAACGGATGCGTCTTGCAGAGGACCGACGGAAAAAACGGAATGCTGAGGGTTGAGGGTGCAGTTTATTTATAGGGAGAAAGCGAGTCGAAAGAGGAAAAAGAAAACGGGTTGAACAGCAGCAACGGCGAAGAGAGGGTTGAAGTGAGACGGGAAGGGAACGAGGTCGAAAACTCCGCCCCTGCATCCGCAAAAGCGAGTCAATACTATGACCAGCCATCCTTTCTCCTACGAATGCCCTCTCGGTAACCCGCGCCGCCTTTCCAACCCCTTTCTCTCTTTGTGCCCCCCAGTCGCTGGATATCGAAATTCGTTAGGCGTCGTAGCGAGGATCCTCGACTCGAAAGGCTCCTGGCTCCTGGTGTCACGAAGCAAACGCGTGTTTTCGGAGGGCCTGGGATTCAGAGTCGAATCGGACACGAGCGAAATTCAATTCTGAAACTGGTTCGATCGGTGAGTATTTCGTTCCTCTATGCTTTGTCCGGTAACTTTTCACCGTTGCCTGCAAAACAATGCTAGCGGTTCGTTTCTCTTCTGGCAAGAAAGGTGGTCGCGTTGATATTATTGATCTTTCTTCTAATTAGTTCAATAATATTTTACACAAGTGTTTAAAATTCATAAAAATGTGTTGAAAGACATTTTCCATATTTATTCATATAAATCAAAAACACCCTAGTAATTACGAGTATAATCAATTAAAACTATATAACCTCATAATGTTGATATATCCAGTGTAATTACAAAAATCGGTATACACCGACGGTCCCAAGGACCGCAGAACCGAATAATATAGAGAGTCATTTTCAAAGAGCTCCGACTCGAAGAAGCAAGCATTCCAATCGGAAAAGTATTAAGGGTGCCTCACCCCCGTGCCAGGCCGTTTAACTCTCCGATTGCTTTGACAACTTAAGCAGGCCCTTAAACCTTGCTCGAACCTCGATGTAATTTATAAGCGACCGAGGGGTAATTCCACCGGGGACCGTCAAACTGCCATGTGGCAAAACCCCCTAGGGAAAGTCAGGGATTATACGGTGATAAATAAATATGTACGTTTATGCAACAACCACCGTGACTCGGGGAGCCCTCTCTCTGCACATCGGATGCTAACAGCCGTGTACCAAGTCAAATTTCGATTCGGTGGGATTCTCCGCGAGTACCCTTCGTTAAATAAACAGAAATTAAAGCCGTTCAGGGGGTTGAGATTTCTGATCTTTGCCACGAAGCAAAATACGTCGGCTTTGATCCATCAACGAATTCAGAATGTGTCCTTCGTCGGCGGAATATGTCATTAATCTACATACATCTATACTAACTAATATTATAAAGAGATAAAGTTTTTCATTAATAGAAAGCTACACTATCTCTAATTGTAAGTAGGCTGTTTTATTTTGATCAAAATAAGGTTTCAGTTCGAAATTTCGATATTCGTAGATAACGTTGTAGATAAAGTCGTTATACTCGCAATAAGAAATATCGATTGAAACATCCGATTTATGGTAAACAAGAGACAGTCACCTACTGATTCGCGAAGAAACACACGCGGTTCAACAGTCAGTCGAACGCGAACGACAAAAAAGTAAATAGTAGATACGAATGAAATCGCGGTTTGCAGCTAGCATTTTAATAAACGGAAAATAATTTAATTGGACAGTTGAAATATTATGGGGAAAAGATTATGATAAATATTATTTTCAATATATAAGAATTTAACAGTATAGAAAAGTTGTAGTATTTATATACATTTTAGGTTACCTTTTAAGAACGATACTTTTTCAACTACCAGCAGGAGGGGAATTATTGATCTGACACTCGTTGATTCTTATGTATGTATACTTTTATTACAAGTAGTTACGTAATAAGTACCTAGACTTTTACAGCGAATAGTATCACAACACGAAATATACAAGAAAAGCACAGACGAGTATTCTTTCTTTACAGCTGTCGTAAAACTCATAGCAATTACTCGCACATCGAAAACCTTATTTCAGATCATTTGAGATCACCAACAAGTACGAAAATGAACGAAGAAAACAAATTTAAAGCAATCCCTATTCACTTTTCTCGTATTCTGAAACAAAATTTCGTCGGATCTTCGTACAAATCGTTTCGAGAACACTTGAAACCGAGAAACAAAACGACTTGGTCAACACGTCGAACCTAATGTTCGATAAACATTTGTATAATAAATAAATGTGTGTGTGTATGTATATATATATATATATATATATAATCTATATCCTTACGTTGCAACCGAGTATCTCCCATTCAGTTTAGATACCGTTGAATTGTTAACTAAATACTGTAGATATCGTTTCGTTTACCTTTTCTCGAAGTTTCCATATCGTTAGCCGATCCCAATCTAGCGGCAAAAAGAAATCACCAGACGGGATCGTAAATTCATCAAAGGGTCATGCTTGGGGCTTCATCCTTAGGCCAAACCATACTCGCTACCTCGATCGATCCTCCTCAAATTAATTACTCCTGCGCAATAATTTTTTATTCGTTTCCTTATCTTTCGTTAGTACGCTGGTCTCCTGAGAGTATTTCCATGCCTACGTTGCACTCGAGTTAGTATAACTGTCTTTGCTAAGCGAAGTCTTTCTTATTCTTTTGTACACAATATGTATGTTGAGGGACAGTGTGACAAAGGAATGTCATTTAATCGAGCGATACGACTTTTTCACTCATTGTCAGTGTTCCTCAAACTTTGTCAAACAGTTGCTAGACTCTCTAGAGTAGAGTTGAACTTATTCATTATTTTTTATTTCTTTAATATATTTTATAACTGTTTTTAAAGAAAGGATTCATGTTTAAAAAATGTATCCACAATTTACGTAAGTTCACTGTTTTTAATTTGAAATTGATATACGTTGGTTCGCTAGAGCAATGTACAAAAGTAACTGTGAAATAGATTGCAAAATGGATCGTTTGGTGATTTATTAATAACTATTTCAAAATTAATGTGTTTTTGAATCTCAATTTCTTCTTCAATTTCATTTACTACTAAACAAATGTTTTTTATAAGGCTAAGGTATGAAAAGGATCAGTTTTTCACTATACATACCAGAGTTCACAGACACCAGTTTGAGAAACACTGATATAAACCACGTCCTCTGTAATCCTCGAAAATCGGACAATCAGTTTCGTTCATATTCGAGTTAAACGCATCACAGAATGAACGCGCGAACTTTCAGCGACGTTTCACTTAATTCGTATAATTCGCGATGTGCCACTGTACAAACGCCGATTTCCGGAAACTGATTTCTTCCTCGGTGGTCCCCCGTGGTGCAAAAGTGTTTCTTAATTTTTGTACATATCGCACAAAACTTTCTCCATCGGAGTGTTGCCGATCGTTCTGTGAAAGTATATCAACTCCACCCTCGACGCTGGCACCGTCCTAAGTAACGGCAGCAACAGCAACAGCCTGCCGAATCGAGCTGGACTGGCTGGTTGCTGGGCTCTGGCGTGCTGGCCTAACATCACCTGTGCCTGATCTTGCAGATTCTCTATTTGGCTGGAATCTTTCAAGCCACGGGTTTCTGAAACAGAAATACGAGACGCTGGTCTGGCCAATTCGAAGAAAGTTTGATGTTTCTGTGTGTACCAATACTGTCTAGGACGGTGATCATACATATGTATAATTCTTCAAGGAAACGACTACTTTATCTATTTTCACAATTACGCTTCTCTTTTGATGGATTCATGGGTACAGAAAAATATTGGGTTGTCTGGATAGTCCATGTCGATTTTTGGCAGGTGGTAACAACAAATGAATTCAAATAACATGTAGATGTATGTATCCCTTAAAAGGTTGGAGAGGTTGTATAACAAAATAGTATATACGTATTTCAATGAATGTACGAGTATATATCAAAATTTGAATGTGCCTTTGAGTTTTTCTTAAAATTTTCCACCAACTTCCAGGACAACCTAATATTTTGTTACTTACTTATATATATATATATATATACTTATGTATAATGTACAATCACAAATTAATGAATTAATTTAGTTTAGGTCAAACAACTCATCTTAAATAATAAATGAGTGGAACTGTAGAGTTGTTAGATATCTTCATGTAAAAGTATCGTGTAAAATCCTGTAAAACTTGGTAAAATTACCAACCTGGTCGGAACAAGACAATGGCTTTCATGCAGGCGAACTCCGCAGGATCTACCATGATGGCCTTGTATCTCTGTAGGGTATCGTGCAAATGCCTGACATCCGCTGCCACCTGACTCGGTTTACCCGTCGTTGTCTGCATGTGGATTCCAGAATGTGGATGTGGATGCGGGTGAGGTGACAGAGTCAAAGCAGTCAATTCCGCGGAATTGAAAAGGGCCGAGGATTCGAGTGGCAAGCACCACTGCACAGCGTTCAAAAGGAAAAGCTCGGACCAAGCTTCTTCGAGCAGTATTACCTATTACAGACGGAAACGTTCAATTTGTATCACCTTCTTAAAATACTGAAACTGTTGTTCAAAGTCCTTTCTATTCTCTTCCTTCTTTTATCATTCTCTTTGCATCTTAACATTTTGAAAATCTGTATTGTAGCGACTGTAGTAAGCTTCGATAGCTTTGACACTGTTTGAGTGACTGTTTGAGTGCTGTGACACTGTTTGAAACTGTGTCATTAAAGGTAAGAGATGTTTGAGATTGAAAGAGCATTAACGACGTTGAATTGTTTTTTTTTTTTTTAATACCTGATCTCTGAAGGGCAAACTCGCGAAAGACGGAAGATTTTTCGCCCATTTAACGGCCATAAAGAGAAGCCTCGCGCTAGTTTCGTAGACCGTTTCAGCGCTAGCTGGCGAATACAACGACGGAATCACAGGCGGAAGTTGCGTGCAACCGCTTCTTTGAGGCGTCAATGGTTCCTCGTTAGTCACGTCTATGCTGTCCTCGGATGCATTTCCTATTATAAAGGATTGTCCAACGTGGTATTAAGAAAACATAAACACACACAAGAATGAATGAGGCACGCTAAAATTGAAAAAGAAAAATGGAAATAATTAAAAGTTGTCAAAGGAAAGAGTAACTAAGTCTTCGAGAGTGAATTTGGAGTAAATTAATGTAATTTCACTTAGAATTAGGATGATTTTCATCGTATAGAACAAAAATTACAAATCACAAATATATATTTTCTCCAGTGAATAAATAATAAAAAAGCAACGTACGGATGTTAAATTGATACATACCATCCTCGTTGTCCTGTCGAGGCGGTGTCGGAGGGTTGGCTGAATTTGTTGTCGGTGCAACGGTGGGTAAAGGCAATGGTGTCGTGTATCTCGCCATAGCCAACGACACAGGTGGCCTGAAACATCGTATTTTCCCGTACTTTATTCAGAATTTTAATCAAATGTTCCCCTACCCTATCCTGTTATGCAAATACTTGTGCAAAGACTCTCCATGGTGATTGCATAAAATTCAACAAACTGGAGTCATCATTCCAACGAATTGTGTTCTGAATATTCATACATTTTTTACATACTTGACCTAAATTATATCTTATGAGCAAACTAAAACTGTAAAATAATTGAACTTGTTCTTTGAACATTTTCAACTCTTCAAACGCACTATGTTTTCTATGTACAGACCATTGGCGCGATCAAAGGACAATTCCAAATTTATACGGAGCGCCAGTGAAATCACGAGTTTTAACAATCAAACCGACAAGTCGACCCGCTCGCCGACTCGCGACAACTTTAACTCGTTCATGCGCGAGTTTTGTTTGCATACTTTCAACGTATGCCGCGTAGAAATTTCGTTTTACTAATTTCGGGTAGGTAGATGGACGAGAATAGACCGACGGAAACGAGAGACGAACACGGTTTGCAGTTTTTCAGAAGAATTTTACGCCAAAGTCTTCCAAGGGGGATTTTGTCGAAATTCTTGGGATAAATCGAGAGTACAGATGACGGCGTGTAATATAAAAATTGTGGTTAGTGTACGAACAAGGCAGCAAACACGAAAGTCTGAATATTAGAACGCAAACAGGTAAATTCACTCATTCAATCACTTTATTCCCTTCACCTATATGTCTACAAAATTTCTACAAAAGTTTTTCCTTTAAAAACAAAAATGATCATTTTTAATACTCTGACGGACGGTTGTCTAAAGTAATTCAGCTCAATATGTATTCGCTAATTTTTGTGTGGTTGGTTATGTCTTTATTTGAAGTAATAACAAATGTTCAATAATCAACGAGGTTAGAATTTAACACTCGTTCTTTATTATTTTCTGTTGCTTTCGAACGAGGTAAAATGCATTAAATTGAGTTGGACAATTCTATTGTAAATATAAAGTGTCTATATATATAGATAAACACAGGTTGATCGCTGTACTCTTTTATATATAAAATTTAAATATCGTCTTGTACTCTAACCACTGAATTATTTTGAAATTAGACAAGTACAAGCACAAGTAGATTAGAATTTTCTCTATTTAAATTGAATATTTTCATTCTCGACTTGACTTTTCCTAACTGTAGACACATTCCGTTGTACAAATAACCCATACTTTTAAACTACCCCTCGTTTACGCGAATTCTTGTTATATATTTTAGATTACCAGATCAGGTTAGAAAAATTTATTTTCTAACCCAGAAAAAAAAGTGGTATTCGTCTAAACAACAATTGGTCTAACATTTCGTTACAATAGATATCGTATGGACAGAATAATATCTTTTAATTCTTCGTATCGTTTAGAGAGCAAACATCTAAGCTAAAGCACCGTCCATGATGGGCAATCCACACGAGGACCCAACCGCCCCCTCGGCGAAGAGAGGGATCCAAACCGGCAGAAACTTTGCCACTTCGTACATGGAGCTGTGCAAGCAGCATCGACTGCGTCCACTGCCAGTAATCTGTGTGGCTCTGCCTCACAACTTGGACTTCACCACCGACAGGGTGAAAATGGACGACTGGAATCCGATCTTGAACTCCCTGTCCCTCGATCGTAGCCTGAAATCGATCAGCGTGCGCAGCAGGTACCAGTGTCGCAAGCCACTGGAGGAGATAAATTCCGAGGACAAAGCGAGAACGATGGGCAAAGCGCCCGTAGTGTTGTCTCGCTATCTTCTAGAGTGTTTGTCCCACAGTGTCAGTCAATGCGTCGGGAATTCTGCAGCTCTGACCAGTCTGGAACTGGAAGGCATACCGTTCCCACCAGATTGCTTGGCTGTGCTGTGCGTCGGGTTGTCGCACACTCAGACCTTGCGGTACTTGTCCCTTCAGCGCTGCTACATCGGGGACAGTTCGTGCGAGTTGGTATGTCGCACCGTGGCCGACGTTTCTAGCGTCAGATCGCTGAACCTCAGCTCCTGCGACCTGACCTTCAAATGTGGATCAGCCTTAGCAGCGGCGCTCTCGAGGCAAAAGTTATCCCTCTACCACGACACTTGGAAGCAATCGTTGAGGTACCAGGAGCCGAACATCGAGGCGATGCCAGGATTGCGTCGTCTGACGTTGAACGACAATCCTCAATTGGGCGACACAGCGGCGATCGAGTTGATCGATGCGATACGGGACAGCCTCTGGCTGAAAGCTCTGGACATGCAACGTTGCGGCTTGACCGACAAGATCGCCAATGATCTCCTAGAATTGCTCACTTACAATACAACCTTGATGGTCCTCGACGTCCGACAGAACGCGAACTTGAACGAGGAGCTGGCGAAGGATATAATGAAGAGGCTGGCGCAGAGCAACGTGGACGCAAAGTCTGATTTCAGGTGGCTTGGTTTACCTGAACAGAATCGAAGAGTAGCCTCTGCTGGTGGCAGGAAGAGGACTGAGAATGAAAACAAAACGCTGCCCAGACCACGAAGCGCCATGACGGAGTACGCCAAGAGACCCTACCAGACTCCGTCGAGAAAATCAGCCACTACGACGAACAACAACGTATCGAAAATTAAAGGTAGACCGCATGTTCCACCGTGTAAACTGGTACGGCCTCAGCAGAGGGACCAGGAACAACAACAAATCGGTCAGAACGGTCAGCTGAAGCCTAAAATGTCCCTTCATCTGGACCTCCAGTCTCATATACAATCTGTCATAGGCGAAGGGATGGACACCGCGTGCAACGGGACGTACGAGAACAGTGGTCGGCGTGAAACAGACAGCAGAACCTGTTCGAAAGCTGATACGAGCAAGGTAGACGCGACGACGCAAGTGACGAGCAGCCCGGAAGTCGAGGAACTATTAAGAACTCGCATAATCCAGGTTGAATTGGCGGAGGCCAGAGCAGAACACGATCGCCTCGTAGAGGAAACGAAACGCAGCAGTCTCTTGTTAGCCGTGGAAAAGAATCGCCGCGAGGAGGCCGAGGCGAAGCTGAACGGCATGAGGAACAATCTGACAGAGTTGGAGAACGCTTTGAAGGAGAAAGAGCAGGAAACGAATGGATCCGTGCTGCTTAGCCAGCAGTCTCTCGACGAGATTTGCAGTTCGTTTGATCGTCTTTTAGAGATGCTGGACAGCGTCAACAGGAATCCAAATACCGGCAGAACGGAGTCCACCGAGATGGCGATTGTTCAGGCGGACATAAAGGAACGAGTCGCCTCGGTAATCCGACAAACCAAGTCGGAGAATCTGAGGAGAGGATTCGTCGTGGACGTGGACGAGGACGACTCGATAGGGTACACCGAACCGATCAAGAAGTTGGCCAAATCGGAGAGTGACGTCAGAACGACGTTACCTCCGATATCGACGATGCATTTGGAAAGGAACATAGGGGATAGCCCAGACGTAGGTTCGTCCGCGCTGCCGAACAGAATTCTATGTCACGAAGCGAGAATGGACGCCATGTCTCCCAGAGAGAGAGCCAGAACGCTGTTCAAACAAATTCTTCACGCAGACTCTATGTTCGACTTTTGCAATCACGTGGATTAAATGTTGTCACAGACGGAATGGTTTTTATAGAAAAATACAAGTACTGGGGCTGGAGCGGTGTAACCAAAACCGTGAGAGCTAAAGCGGATAAATAAATTTCCCATGTACAGAGACGAGCAGAACTGAACGGAATTTATGAATTTTCGGGCAAGTATGATGTTTCGAAATCGTAACAGCATATTGCAATTAGTTAAATGAGACCATGTAATTATTTATATTTCCTTTACTGTCTAATTTGAGAGCTCTATATTATACATCTAGATTGAAAATGTGCTCAGTTTCATTCATCGCTGTACAAGTCATTGAAACGTAGATAATACTAAATACTTTTGTATTTCCACCAGCCAACATTGCTATATTTCAATTGATTTTTAACACGACTATTGCAATTTGATTAATGCAATGTGAAACCGCACGAAAATCATGAAAGACTTGCGAGGTCAGTCCACTTTAGCTCTCATGCTCACAAATACTCCGTCGTGTAGAACGTAAACGTGGCGATTGATTAAGAAACAACAGCAATAAAAACGTATATAAAATAATGGTAAGGAAAAGAAAATTTGTTGGTGAAAAAGTCGTTCTTTTCTTTTGTATGCTAGTGGATTAGCAAGAAACATTAACCAAAGGCGAGGTCGATGGATTTTTCTGTGCCCGTTAAACGTATCGCGAATCGATGATTAGACCGAATCATCGAGATAAACTGATTTATATCGTCACATTTTTCTTAAGTGCATTATATTGTAGATGGAATAAACACCCTTTATTCTTTTTAACGAGAATTGTTTCATTCGGATCGCATCGTATACGCGTGACTGTATTTTTTTCACCACGATATATTATTGGCACTGTTTCTCAATGTGTTTCTCCGTTCGATACATTTTCTCCAACATATAGGTCACCGAGGTTTCCAATGAAATCGCGAATAAAACCTTGTTCAACTTATATAACACGGATATTCAATCCAGGTATAGATTTATAATGAATGAACGAGAAAGGACTATAACTTGCTGGTTACAATTGCGTTGTATCATTGTTGATGGACCCAAGTTACGTAAGTACAAAGTAAAACAATCTCACTCGTCGATTGGCTGTCGTAGAAAATGATAAATGACTAAAAATTAACTAAAAATTGTCTGTCGATGTAAAGTGTAGAGTTTTTACTTATTTTTCTACTTGTAATTTGGATCGATAGACTAAATGAAAAGAAAAAACCTGTACCAAGTGTTCTACCACTGCAGCATGTATGATTGCTCGACAAGGTAGGTACATATTATTATCTTCCGTACTAGTCTAATAAATATCGAATGTTCTAATTAATAGGTTTAAGAAAAGAACGAGGTGTGGTTGGTTTGGCTTATACATATAATATATTCTTATACTCGTAGTAATACAAGTCATGAAAAATTCCACGACTTTCTGATCGACCATCTTGGAGATACATATAAGACAAAACAAGAGCCAACATAGATGCGTTGACAATTCTGCTTCGAGTAATTTGTATTTTTACGTTCAGCATCTCATTGTTAGACTCATCGGTAAGTTGAACAAATCCAGAGAAACGATGAAATTTCCACCGATATAATAACAATATTCCTACCCGTTGGATCGAATAATAGCCCAGAACGTTGAAAATGAATAACCTTTTTCGAATACTGGAACAACAATAAACTGTGAAAACCCGCAACGTATAACCATAAAGCCTCCAGAGAATTACTACTTTCCAGAGAGTCTTATTGTTGGTATATCGAACGGTGAGCGACGTTGGCACGCTCGCTGTCGCTTTTAACGTTCACCCCTTGGCGCTCTATGGATTTTCCATTAGTTCCAACCTGAGTGCCCAGTTACCTGAAAAACGGTCAGCTACGGGCTACTAGTCAAAGGTAATTTTTCATGATAGATCACGCTCGGCGTGGCGTGTCGCGAGCGCAACTTGCTCACGACGGCGAAAAGTATGCTGCTGTGCAGCAGAAGATCAAACGTGCCAACAACGTCGTCGGTTCTCTTGCTCTTGCCGTTGTTCCTGGTGAATCGGTGATTATCGATCGCGAGTCCTCGGTGTTACCTTTAATCCCCCCCCCCCCTGCCGTGAGCATCTTGGATCGCTTTGAAATTCACCACGGTTCTTGTACCGCACGTCTAAATAGACGCAGCGGGACGCTCTGGGCGAAAATAATATCCAGCCCGCTGCTCTAGGAAGTGGAGCAAGGTTCTTGGGCGCTGAACGGCTGCTGCTGCTTTGCTACTTTGCGAGCTTTGATTAAGGGTTCTTGAACAATCGCGATTACGGTCACTAATATTAGACTACGGTGGGTAATAGCAATTCGTGCGACAGTTTATTGGGAAAATGTAGAAGCCTTGATAGACCATCTCTGAACAAGTGTAATATGATGGCTATGGATGATACTAAAATGATGGAGATTTGTCAGAAAGAGCGCAACAACTTGGGGCCACGGACCGTAATTGCATAGCCAAAGACGCGTGAATAAAGCTTATTTGCCCGACACCCTCGCTAATATTCTTTCCACGAAGCGTACGTTAAGTGTAATATAATAAATATACATATGCAGAAATTCAGAAAAAAATATTTGCAATAATCTATCTCGCGCGCCGGACTTGGTGAAGAAAGCATGCAGCTACGAAAACACGGGTAAGCCAGGACGATCAGCTTACGGCTACGAGTAAAACCAAGTTGCCATGTTATTTTGAACAGTGACCCTGCAACCCTCTGAATATAATTATGCAATACTATTTTTATAGTTGGTAAGTGCATGGTGATTTTTTTAGACTTGACATTTAGCGGAAGAAAAGTGTTGTTCATGTGAGATTAAACGGAAATAACTAGAGTAGTTTTAAAAGATTCATTCGATCGTTGAATTATTTCTTGAAACCTGTATTAGTTTTATTTATATATGCACATATTTGAAAGCCTGACAATGAGTGGTGAAATCTGTCTCAAGGGAGGAATTCGGAAGCATATGAAAATACCTAAACACTGTTTATTTACTATTATAGTGTTAGGTCTGTAATAATAGTAATAAATTATTGAATAAATTCCATCAAATGGTTTGAAAATCACTCACCCAAAAACACCGACAGCCACTGCAGCTTCCCGAAGCGCGCGTTCCTGGTCCATCTCGACGAGAGCCTCTGGTCTGATGGTGGCAGTGTTCCTGGGTTGCCGTTCATTCTGCACGGCTACAACAGAAGCACACACCTACGATGTAACGTCGATAACAGGCGTTAATTGCAGCCATGAATTAATTACACGCTGGTAAATTAACGCGAACCACTCCCGTGTACGTGTACCGTCTCGCGCACGTCCTATTACTATTCACAGTACATAATGTCTTTCATAATTTGTGCACGTGAACGCGACCAACGACAGCCTCTTAGTAATTACATATCGGTCCGTTAAGAATCGAATAGGCAGCCTACTTTTCTCAAAAACTGAACAAACTGATCGCTTTTGACAAAGGAAAAATCAATTTGAAGAAAGTTTCACTTACATTTAGGTTTCTTTCGAAGAAACGAAGAAAAGTTGGGTGGGCAACACGTCAAGTATCGAAAAGGGAGATTGACAATTATTGATAGTCGTAAACAATCAATGTAATTCGGTTGAAAAAAGATTCGGGTGTCGGGAATGGTTCCGAGGAAACAAAACGTTTGGTCGAGACAATGGACGACGAAAGAAGCTTGCGACATTCGTTTAAGGAACATTCTCCGATAATAGATTTATTATTGGATTGAATATCCGTCCCAAGGGGAGTTTCTTGGTTATTGAAATATTAATGGAACGACTTGATTCGAAAAGTCTTGCCCGATTAATCGGGAAACAAACGACTGGCCAGGGGCCGCCCTCTCGTCAAACTCACGTAACGCTGCGTTATATCACGGCAGCGCGCAGTGGGCTGCGACTGACAAGCGTGAATTTAACAGACGTGCAGGAATCAGCAGCGTTTATTGTTTGTATATATATTGCCGTTCGGTAACTCCCATTCGGCTGACAGCTATCCTCTACTGGAATAACCTCATGTACTATGGATCTCGAGAACGCTTTTTTCTTCATTTCCCTCGTTTGGAGCAGCACGTGACTGCTTTGATAGCGGTGGTCACGGTACCGTCGACAAATATTGACAACTGACATCGGAGATTTTTACAGACAATTAAATGACACAACACAATGTTTTCCAAGATAAATTATTGATAGTACTGTAGGAATTTAGAGATGGGGTGTAGCTCTTGGTCAGGAATGTTATGTAAATGGCACTTCAATGTTAAACATTATATCTACATTATGTGTTTAAATGAGTACTTACGGGAAAGAAGTTGCAATGTTTTTGGTTTGTTGTCGCCTTTCATTGCAGATGAAAAGTAATAATAAGCTGTATTCAGTTTTTCCTATTTATTATATCCTAGAGTTTAAAATGATGAATGATGATAGAACAGATTCTGATTTTCTTCGAATCTTAAGACCCGATCTCACAATGTCTGGTTGGTCCTAGTCTACCTCAAAGTTAAACAATCCCCAACAGAGCCAACCAAAAGCGCTTAAAACAACCTTACACAAGGGATGTAATCTGAAATCACCTTCGACTTTTCGTCAAAGTTACATCGCGAGAAACGTTTCGCGATTCGTCCAGCCGTGTTCCCAAAGGACAGAGAGCCCGTGACGTCAGCCGCGCGTTAATGGCGCCGCGATTAGGGCACTCAGTGGTGTGTAACGGCGAGCAAAATTTTTTCCAGCTTCCCTTTTAGCGCGGCACGGGTGCACAGTAATTTCGTAATAATAAAAAGCGTGCCGGCTCGCTTTACCTCCGTCGTGCTGCCTGCTGAGCGGTTTAATAGGATCCTCCTACTTCGTCAAGCCTTTGGCGTCGTCGGCGTCCTCTCCCTTCCTCCAACGGTTTTCTTCCCTTCTTTCGCTCGCTCACTTTTTCTCCCGCTTAACCCCGCCGCCAGGAAAGATAAACGCCCTTCTGCAGTTCCCTCCATTGCGTCCCCGGGAAAAATTCTTCTTCCCCGCGTTACGCGCGCTTTCCCTTTTGTCTTTTTAACTCTTCAGTCCGGTTATTTTCACACAGCCCGTCTCCTCCTTTCGATACTCTTTTTTTTTTTTTTTTTTTTTATCGCTTCACTTTGTGCATCCTTTCTTTAACGCGAGCGACGCAATTAACGTGCCGTCGCCGTCGATGGTAAGATTGTTAGGGGTACGCGTGAACTTTCAGGCCAGTTCACGGGAACCGTTCACGTAGCGGTGCTCTAAAACCGTGGCAGTCGCTGCTTCGTTAAATCCAGGGACTCTTGGCGAATCGACCGATTATACGCATTTTATGCACCGGTGGTGGTTAAATTAATACGGACGCGAGGAAATTTTTTTTTAAGATGAGATTTTTATTCTTTACATTAAAACTACCACGACCGGTCAAATGACTGTTTTCACATTTTTTTTATACAGTTTTTATGCCCAACATATGAATTATGCAAAATTGTTTGATGCATTATTCGATCTAGGTCCACGTAAAATATTGTTGAATGTCATTAAAAGAAAGTGTGTTTAAAATCACAGTAGAAATAGTTACAAGTGAACGTTGTTAGTGTCAAGTACGTTGTAGGTTATTGATATTTTTGAGGTGGTTTTACGAAACAATGGATATATCTCGGTCTACGTGTCTCCAAAGGAGTATATTGTGCACTAGAGGGTTAAAAGTAAAGTACCGTGCCAAGAGGATGTTTCCTAACGAATTCTCCAAAATAACAATCGTTAATACTCCTCGTTCGATAGATGGACACTTTTAGCCAGTCATCCGAACCCTTCCCATCCTTTTCATGTATACGTCGGCGTCGTCCAGTTTCACACCAGGAGAGATAAACGGCCTTTCACAGATCGTTTCATTCTCATTTGCGTGAAGCTCACCGTGGGAGGTCCGGCTCCCTTTCTTCACTTTGTGTCTTTTTTTTTTCGACTTAGCGTTATGACACAATTTACGTATGGACAGGCACTCCCTCTCTGTCCTACGTCGGATTCCGTGTTATCCTGTACGTGCGTACGTCCCTTCGGCGAAAGGACGAGCGACGGACAACCGACCAGCAAATTTTTACATGCAGAGAGATCGGGTGCACGTTGCATACGTTTATTTCCCCCAATTAACCCTTCGGGGGTTCGTCGAGGGCCACGCGACCGTCGCTAACGATCGCGGTGTTTACGACGCCGAGCGTCGTTTCGCCCGCCGCGCCGCGGCGAACCGCACATCACGCTTCCAACGAAACGCCGAATCTGTGCGGTTACTTTGTGCCCCGCCGATCTGGGTACCCGATTTCGGTTAAACACACCCAACGACTATAGTAATTCTACACGAAACACTCGCGTGTAACGTAGCTGTTCCGTAGAACCAGGTTTGGAAGTTTATTTATCGCCATTTTCGGTAGAATTGGGAACAGGGATGTCACACTTTATGGGAAAACATATAGAAATGGTTCAACGCGTTTCTCAACTTTTTGTTTTATAGAGTTAATCGACTTGTCCAATGAACGGCTCATTTGTAGAAATGACGAATGCATACTAGATAATTCATGAAATTATAACTGTCGTTAACTGTCGTTAACTGTGGACCAATTTTGTTCAAATCCGAAGCAGATGTTGATATGGAAATATAGAACTCGAATACATATAAAGTTTCGTTTAAAGCCGTTTGAAGAAAACTGCAATTGTTAGCCCAACATAGCAACCGTTCGATCGAAGATGCTCTATTTAAATATCCCTTTGGATTCCTTTCGCAAAAAGCTGCAATCTCCGTGCGATACGAATCACGTTGTCAAAGAAGTTGGCGTAGTTTCGTCGTCTTGGAACCTAACTCACGATCCTCGGGAATCTAATTCCCCGGGAACAGTCGACGTTCCACGGAGACACCGTTGGCGTCGTTTCGGTCGTCAAGGGATCCGGGATCCAATTGGAAGTATTTCTTCTTACGACGTCAAGTTCGGCAATAAGAAAGTTGACGTGCCCCGGGAGGAGTTTTCGCGAGATGGGAATCGGACAGAGGAAAATAAAGAGGGGAAACTGAGGGGGGAAATGCTCTTTTGGCTTGGCAGGTGCGCCCACGAGTTGGCTCGAGAGGCATTAAGAGTTGAATCGAAGGCTGCCGCCACCAAAGCAGACTTCCTCCCGTACCAATCACTCTGCCTTTATCCAGTTATTTATGTCGCGAACGTAAAGGACCCTCGCTCGAGTTCCGTTCTCCTTGGCCGCGGGGGACGCCGAGCGTTGATTGATTCCTACAATGCGGATTTACCTGTGAAACCGGGTAATCGAATCTATCGATAACCGGTGTTCCGGGGACAATGTTTTCCGCGATAGCTGAAATGGATATCTTTCTCTTTCGCGAGCGCCGGAACGAAAATAATCCTTTTTCGAGTTGGCCAATGTGGCTACTAGAGATTTGGTCCAACGCGACGTGTATACACGTCGAACGCAATTTACTCGTTAACTATATGTATAATGTCTCTAATAACGAATAAAACAATATCGTCGACTGTTGACAGCACCTTCAACCTAAAATATCAAAGTGAATGCCTTGCATATTGCTCGCAGAAAGAAAAGAACTCGACCCACAGAGTTAAGCGATCAAATCATTTTGTTAGAGTGAAACAATAACGAACGATGATAGCGAAGCTTGGATCGACCGAGCAACTAGCTATTTTTCAACCAGCTATTTTATAGAAAGAAGAAACTTTGATGGAATTGTAAATACTTTAGTTGAGTGATTTAAACGAGTCAATTATTATTGGAATAACACAGTTCCGTTTTGTTTGCTGTAAGTAACGATGAATAATTATGTAGCCAGAACATTGGACAAATTGTCCAAGTCTGTTTGAGTAAGTACCTAATTCTCTTGACTGTAGTTTTTAATCATGTTCGAGGTAAGAAGAATCATATAATTATTGCGAATTCGCTTTTCAATTCGTGGGCACTATTTTTCAAAATAAGGAAATATCTTTCCTTTTTTATTATTTATGGCATGAAATTGAGCAAATAATAAATACGACAGATATCGCTTTTAGCTGTCCAATTTCAGTTTTATATGTACATTGAAAAAGTCCTCAAATCATCCTAAACTTTATTCATTTTATAAATCCACTTAAGAAGAAATTGTTTTATGCTCACCGTATGGTATCCATGAAGTGGAAAAGACATGTTCTTTAAAACGTAAAAAAAGAAAAAATTGTTTCCATTTAGAACAAGCTTCTTCGATTGGTAAAATATATATTCGGTACAAGTATTATGAAAATTGAATGTAATTCATCCTGATTTTGTTCCAAACTTGCAAACTGATTCTAGTTTTCGCCGTTCATGCTCCCACAGTGTTCGTATATGGGAACATTTCGAACAACTTGATCGTTCCAAACGTTCATCTTACAATAACTTACGTATTCACCTTAAATAATAAAAGTTTTCTTTTCCGCACTAATATAACTCAAATAAAAGTCGTCCTGAATATCCCGAGCTCCATCGCAATTTGTTCACTTTTAAGTGCCCACTTGAAACATTCCTTTCGGACCAGTAAATAACGCAGAGTAGGTAAACGAAAGGAAAAAGCAATCATCGCGCAGAAATAATTCAATTCGATTCAATTATATTACTCACCGTCCTTATTCATTCCCATCTGCATACATTTCTTCAAACGACAGGCCTGACACTGATTTCGGTGAGCTTTGTCTACGACGCATCTTCCAGTACCGGCTTGACATCTGAACATACAATTTTTCCAAACATATAAGACGATTCGGATACTAAAAAACGTTCGTAGCACATGACCCCTTTGATAACACCGTATGAAATCAATGACTCGTAATAATTGCAGATAAATTGTCCAAATATATTTCAGATTCAATCCTTGTGATCATAATAAATGGCACCAGATGGTTCTTGACAGATGAACTTGGACAATTATTCAGTCATAACAGAAGAATTTGTTGACGAATATAATTAAGAGTGCAGTCAATTTGTTTATATAGAGAATGCTCAACGAGAATTGTACGTAAAATATAAATACATTACAACTTAAACGAAAGAAGTATCTTTATGAAATTTATAAACGTTTCATTCCTAGTCACCTATGTTACAGATAAAACACGATCAAATCTGCTTTCGAATAAGAAAGCGTCAACGATCCTAGCCATTGTGTAATGGCAGAGCATCGACGAGTAAAATCGAGTAAGAAAGTTCTCGTTCCCTGTCGGAATCGATCGATCGTTGACGATGATGTTTCACCGACGATGGCCGTAACTTGGCGGCTGTTGTCCCTTTCGGAAAGGCGACGAATTTCGAGCGCACTTGCCGGAAATCCTGGCTGCGCACTCAGGAGTTGGCGTTAAATTCGATTACTTTCATTGTTGGGCTAACCCGGTTATCCCTTCGAGCTGACGATCGTAAAGCTGCGACCGCTCGAGGTCACGTACTTGTTCTTATCCCTCTTAATTTCATCCAATCCCGCGGCAACCTCGTGGTACATACTTGGTTTCTCGGGGGCTTACAGCTACTTTCTCATCCTCATTCTCGCGCTCCCTCGAGACGGGCTCCGATCGACAGTTATTGACCACCTGAGACAGTTAGGAAAGTCAAAGAAGCTCGAAAAATGGGTGTGCGTATGAGTTAAGTTAAACCGACATTATTGTTCTAATAATAACAATACAGCATCATACCAACCAAATTGTAATGTCGAAACAATCGATGTACCCGAATCGCGAAAACGACTCGAAAATGCACCGCATAAACGACAAATAAAGAGTTGACTGCTCCAAGTTTTGTCGTGCAGGTCGAGTGGCAAAAAAAGGATGGCCAGAGTCGTAATTCCTGGGGAATAGCCCGGGGCTCGATCGGCCGGCGCGACGCGACGCGACGCGACGCGACGCGACGGTGCGGTCGATCGATTCCCAGGGCTCCGTTAGCACGATTTTAACTAACGTCACTCACAAGGAGGCGGCTCGATCCAGCAGCGCGACGAAAGGACGCCACCGTCCTGAAACTATCTTGTCCCGAGGCGGTAGTGTACGAACGGCACCGAAGGGTGGCTTGGCGTGCTGTCGCGCCAGCAGGGTTTCTCTCGCAAATTGATTTGCGTTCACACCCCAGCGAACCTCCGCGACGCTGCCAGGCCCCCGTCGGGGTCTCCAACGTGCAGCACGGGGGGATACATCACCCTCGGCCTCCTACCCATTCACCCTTCAGAACCACATCATACATTTATTTACGCATCTCTCTATTCTTCGGCTGGGCCCACCATTGTTTGCTTCATCGAGTTACCGGAAGCATGTGCTGCATGTTATCACGCCCGCCGATCTCAGGTCTGGATGATTCGATGACTTAACCCCGACCACGATCAACGACGTGGCTACCTACGATTAATGGGTGGGTCCAGTCGAGAGGGAAGTGCACTACTGGGAATATTTGTTGCACCACCGCAGTGAGTATTATACATATTTAATGTTTATGGTTCTAGTAGCTAAATGGTCGGTGAATTGGTTGGTTTTCGACTTTATTTTAATCTAATTTGTCAAAGAGTCAAGGAATCGAATAGAATAACTGAAATTTAGTTGACAAATTAAGTCTCGCTGCCATTCACTGCCACTCACTGCCACTCAGGCCACTGACTGAGATATATATACATGATAAAAAAATTATAAATATTCGTATAACTCGGTATCAGGTTCATTTCAATTATTATGTAAACAGAGAATTTCTATCTTCACTTTAGAAGGAACAACAGAGATCAATTTTAAATAACACCAATTTTAAGTACAAGAATACAAAGTGAATCATAATAGCCTAGAAAGCAACAGTACTTGGCACGCCACCGTATATAAAATCACGACTACGCGAAAATCATTTCTAAGCACTAGACATTTTCGGAGCAGGTTGCGACTCATATGGTCCACACTCAGAATAAAGCTTTGCCATCGATGGATCTATTTAAAAAAAAAAAAAAAACTATTACGGCGAAAAAGGTCGATTCATTGCGTGCAAAATTCAAGTGTGGTCCAATGGGAGTTTGTGCGAACTCTCGATACAATCTGGAGCATGCACAATGTACTTAATTGCATCTAACCGATCCGTGAAGTTGGACTTTAATCCGACGATTATGGTCGATGCGCTGCCGCGGCGCATCACGTCGGGACGCATCTGTCGCGGTCCGTTCCCCTCTGCGTGTAATTGGTTATCTGTGCGAAGGCTCTTCACTCTTTACCGCATTACAGCCACTCGAGGAGAGGTGGTGGTAAAGAATATATATATAAAAAAAAAAAAAAAAAAACCGCCACGACGAGATACGATCCGACTCGCGACGATCGAAAACGACGCGAGGGTCATCATCAGTCTCTGCGCTCGAGTAATTTCTATGTCGATCAAATCAAATGGAAAACGGATTAGACGGATTCCGTAAGATCTTTAATTTTTCCAAGATGGATAATGCATATACACAAATTTGGTAAGAATAATGTAATAATAGTGATAAATATTAGTGACTGACTATTATTATAAGTAAAATCATAGACACAAGAAGAGTTTCTGATTTAACACAAAAAAAAAACCATGAATCATTGATCTCATTGATACACAAAGAGAATCCATTAAAATGAATAAATATATAACAATATAGACTACCGACTAGAAACCAGAAAAAATGCATCGAATGGAAACAATTAAGAAGATAGCGTCAGCGTAATAACTGTGGCTGTATAGTTGAAACACTTATATTCAGCGATGTTTGGATTCCGGTCACCCGTTCAAAACGGCTACAGGACCAGCATTTATTTTTCAAAGAACAGGCGCAGGGGTTAATAGTTTGTACATCGTGTCGTGTATTTCCCCGACAGGCTTAACGCGCACATCTACGAGCGCGCGTTATCGATAGTCACGTACGTAGTCAAAGGGATGCACGCACACGTACGCCAGTAGCTCGTATGGTGGTCCCGTGTAAAACGGATCGAGCGTATCAGACAGCGATTCCGAGTTGAGAGGGATCCGATGGAGATGGATGGCCGTTCCCAGGGGATGGTAATAGTACGCCGTTATACACGGAGCCAGTGCGGCGCGGCGCAGCGGGTTAGGTGGATAGGTCCTCCACGGTTCAACATTATGCCGTTACGCATTGTTGGCTGGTATTACGATGAGCCCACTCGACTTGGACCACATGGCGCCACTGGCTGGCCAGTTTGACATTAAACGCCATAAGAGGATCCGCTGACTAATTTCGATCTGATAGCAGGCGAGATCGGAGTCCATTGCGGTGATTGTCCAAACAAACATTTCCACGGAGCCAATGAGAGCTTAATCCTTTCGCGCATGTAAATGTATGGACAGAGTTGTTCTAGCCAAATCGAGTACGAATGCATAGCCTTAACCGTTTGGCCTACAACGACGAGTGAGACTCGTGATAAGTAATTTGGCCGATAAACAATAACCACGAGTTTGACTAGCGATACTTTGTTCGGACTTGTTACCTTCCTCTTTACTATATTTACTGTATACTATACCAATCGGGAGATAGCGCATAGGTCAAGGGGTTAATTGTCGTTTATACTTTCAATTATCATTATTATCGTGTCGAAGATATCAAGTCTTGGTTTTTTCTTGCATGTCTAAAATGTATTTTCTCTTATAAATCACAGCTTACTTAGAAATTGTATGTATCTAGCAAGAATGATTACTCGTGTTTTAATAATTGAAAACAGTGGCAACAGTGTCCTATATCAGAATTCCTGTATGACTCGGGCTAAAAACGGAGGCACATCGAACTCCAATATTCTAATATTATAACTAAAAATCTTAAGAATTTTCCACCAACTCACCTGTATATCAACTTTCGTCTGACGCTTCGTTTGAAGAAGCCGCTGCATCCGTTGCAGGCCAGGATTCCATAGTGTTTCCCAGAGCTGGTGTCACCGCAAACCACGCATATCAAACCGAGGCTGCGCGGTGGTTTGCTGCCATGTTGCGGCTGCTGTTGCTGTTGCTGTTGTTGTTGCTGTTGCTGTTGTTGTTGCTGGTGCTGGTGCTGGTGCTGGTGCTGGTGCTGGTGCTGTTGCTGCTGGACTTGTCCCAGCAAATGTGGGTGGCCGTTTCCGAGCGCAGTTAAGTACGGTGACCTCGCGAGCGGGAAATCCGTTGGTATCCCTCTGCAAAGAGGCACTGGACACTCCTGAACCGACCTCGAGGCGTAAGGATCGTGACTCGAGGTCGATCCTGTCGCTCCTAAGGGACTGTAGCGTTCTGGTAAGCCTGGGGAGATTACGCTGCTCTCTCCCGAGTCTGAAAATAAATGATTCTTCTGTTAGGTTTCCTCGACTGGCTCACGGCACTTGAATTTTTATTATGAAATTACACGATATTATTATTTCCGAATGTAGTTAAGCAGCATTCGGTGCCTGCGGTACGTTATATATGTAGATAAATTTAAATATTATTTGTTACTTTATCATTGTTATTCCTTTAAAATAATATTGTTATTATGAAGCATGTGTTTTGAATTGTACGGTAAATTATATTTATTCTTCAGAAATATCTACTTTTTTTCCAATAATTTCATTCTTCATTGCAACTACAGTTGCCAACGAATGCAACAACAATATCAGTGAGTATTTTTTCGTTACCGCGTACTATTTATTATTATACATATATTAACGTTCAATATTTCCCTGATCGAACTTGATTCATCCTATTCGATCAGGTGGCAGTTACGTCCCACTAATCCCAGAAATCTCTTCCATGGGTTCGTGCGACCAACCCCAAACAGTACACGCCACCTTCTCCACCCTTAATTGATTCTCACGAGGAGGGGGTCGAAAGGACACGGCGATAGAACATAAAGTATTTGCAACAGAAGAATTTACGAGGCAATTGGCAATTTGCTGCTGTTCCTAAAATTTCTGATCAATTTAATTACCGATCCATCGTTAAAGTGATTATCGATATTGTTTCCAGTTATTATTGATTGTGCCACAAAAATCACTGCTGGATCAGAGGAATAAGCGATGATTGTTACTAGAAATAGAATTTATGATTATACGATATGTACAACTAGTGATGACTAATAACGATGACACTCAGCATTGCAACAAACCTGACGTAATTCTATGTGAATCTGATTATTTAATTATGTTCCGTTTATGAAGAAAATAAAAGTGTATGTAATAATTTTATTCGAATGTTACAAAATTCTATATTCTATACTTACAGCATAAATGTGTTATAATCAAAATATTCAATAATTCATGACGTGGAAACCAAAAATTTGAACTGAGAACAAAATTCAAATATTCGGATTTCTGACGAAAATCACTGCTCGATTCGCTATGGTTTTTGTCCCTAAGAGACGAGCGGTTTCTTTTCCGCATCCCTTAAGGCTTACTGGCTGAATAGCGAGGGCAAACAGTATTTACATCAAGAAATGAGTTCGTAAAAAGCACAGAAGGTAAAGAAGATCCGACATACATATTAATATGTTTTCGAAAGGGAATAGAAGCCAGACAAAAGTGAGAAGATTTTGCCATGGGGGAATACTAAGCGATATTTTCTTTGATTTCTTTCTGAAGTATTCTCAACTTGTTATTTCAGTGAAGTGCTTTAATTGCTGGATTTATTTAGAGTATTTCATGCTTTTAGTAAACGTCAAAAGCTTTGGATGAAACCGTTCAAAATATTCGTTATGTTCCGAACTGAACATTTTTTATACTCCTCTTATCTTTTGGTGCATGTTTCTTTCTGTCTATCTCTCTTTCTGTATTTTCCCATGAACACCAAATATTTATTTTTATAAATAGCTTCGTGAAAATCCTACAAAGGTAATCTATAGCTATTAAATACGAATTTTTACACAAGTAGACACAATGTTAACCGCGATATGAAATTATCGAATAGACAGTTTTTAACTGTGGTGCAGTTAATTGGAAAATAAATTGCATCGACACAGTTCCTTGGGTCACCGATATTAATTGGAAAATGGAAATGCAAAGAGATCGGAGACCGGCGAACATCTGCGTGATCAACGAAATGTGATTTCGCTTCTCCACTCAGATTTATTAGTCACGCTGCCAACCCCGACGAGGCGCGAGATCTCCGTGGAATCGTATTTGTCGACTGCCTCGCACCCGATCGAAAACTCGTTCCGGTCTCGTTAATGCCGCGGGGTCAGATAGGATCCGTTCGAATTACCATGCGAATCGACAACAGGTCGATATCGGGTTAGGGTCCCTCTCCTAACCCACTGCAAAATGATTTAACTGTGCCCTAGTCTGTCGAGTTATTTAAAACTACCCCATTGCGAGAAATTGCGACCACACTTGAAATCAATCAGAGAAAATAGAATCGACCAAAGGAATATTCCAAAATTGACATTCGAGTTAAAAGTTTGTATTATTGGCAGTTTTCCAAGCATTTATTGTATCATGTGAAATGCTTGAAAGGAATTCAATTCTCTGTAGTTGTGTTAAAGAAACATTTTGGGCAGCCGGGAACCTGGCAGCCCGAAAACAGACAATCTACAGGGTTCAAAGAAAATTGTGATTTTAAATTCTCCTTTAATTTCTGTTGGTATTACTTTTGTTTACGTTTTATCTTAAATATGAAATGAACAGTATTCGACTCGATTAATGAACTTTAATATACATATATTACCTATACAGTCCTCTTGATTGAGGGACGATATAGCCATAAAATTAAATACCGAAATTCCTCAAAGGTACTTGAAGAGGAATAAAAGGTAAAAAATATTATTCTGTCTATGAAAGTGTAACAGTAGCACACTTTCAAAATTCACAAACTGCACGTTACTACATTCGACTCGATAAGAATTTCAGACACGTTGTCAACCCAGCTTCAAAGTGCTAATTACGTGCCATACGATGACTTTATTGCATCAAACCCTGGAGATGCCGTAATCGTAATCAATGATCATGCCTACCGAGCACGTTCGATACATCGACCGGCACGCATAATCCAGCTACACGGTAAAGAATTCAATCGTATCGTTTCGTCGTTACAGTCACAAGGGATGAACTGGAGGCGATTATATTAATGCAACTCACGTAACGTCCTAAGCGTGCCGGCTTTTCGATCTCGTTAACACCCTAATCCCGACGAACGCGCACAGAGAGCCACAATTTGCGACATGTGAAATCTATCCTCAAAATGACGACGAATTATGCGACCATTTTCTCGCGAAACTTGCAATCATTTCTGAATTAGAAACAGATTTTCGTTTTTCACCTACGATTTCGTGCAAAATTTGTTCGAGGATCTATTCAAATCGCTCTCGAATTATTTGCCTAAATATAGATATTTTGTAATGAGATTGTAAGTGGAAGTGCGGGCTATGTAACCCTTCGGGGAGCATTGGAATAAATATGATACATACACTATTTTCTATTAGTTTTTGCACAAAGAATCGCCCCTTTCTCGATTGTGACACGACTACAGGGCTACCCTGTGTAGATGACAATCGACATCGTTGACCATAAAGTTTCCAAATAGTCTCACCGTGCCTATCCACGTACACGACGACATTACGCCATTAGAGTAATCAAATCTCGGGCGGAAGCTCGCGAAATGCCACGAGTGCCAGGGGTTAAACGAGAAGAGAAAAATTATGCGGCCGTATGGTGACCAGGGGCGACGGTTTCCTCGTACAAAACGCGAGCTATACGCGTCGCGCGAGCGTACGAGTGTACACAACGAGCGCGAAACCAGGGGCGTCAAATTTCATTAGCATATCAATGGTGCCGGAAGGCGAGGCGCCACCTGCGCCCCTGTATTATGGGATCATCGTGGAACCATGGTGGGGCTGGGCGGAATGACGACCAGCAAAGGGGACTCGTCGTGGAAGCTCGAAGAAAAAAGAGATTTCGTACATACTGGCTACCGCTTTGGTCACACCCTCCTCTACCATGCGACTAATTGTTACCGCATTAAGGAGATACGTTGATTCCGCGGTTCTCTGGGATTGCTTCTTCTATCGAACTGATTCATTCTCCTTTACAAACATCTGTTCTGATTGTTTTTGATGGCCGAATGTTGATCGAGTCTCGAACAATATCAACAGTTACACATTGATTCGGGGAACGAGTAACAAGTTGGTTCTCGAGTGGTAGATTAAATAATCAATGACACACTCACATATACCATTTCAACTGTATCGTCACTTTTATATTGTATAACGAAACAATGTTGGTTATCCATGTGGGTGTTAAACTGTTCCCTTGCTATACAGGTAAAAGTTTCAAGGTTGTGTTTTGCTTACGTAAGGCTGATCAAAGTGGCAGCTATCGCGATCGTTGATTCGACGGGTGAACTTGCTCTACGTATCGAAGATGAAAGAATCATTTTTCTCAGTGAAAGTTTATAAAACATCATTCTTAAATATCTTGACCGAGGTAAAATGGATCCCATAATATTTCATTGAAATGCAACGTTCACTTTATGCGAGTTTACATTTTTCATTTAACTTGCACGAAAATCATGCTACATTCTTTGGCTCACTCCAGATCTGATTACTCTAATGGCGTAATTTCGTTGGCCGCGTTGCACCCTCTTTTTCCACTTACCACCCTAGAACCACGGCTCGCATAAAAGTACGTCGGGGGTAGATTTACGTGCAGTCTGTCTCCTCGTACATGAGTTAAAGTCGGATATTTACGAACGAGCCGGCGTGGCCGCGGGTGCGGCGGTATACTCGCCAATCTGTTTCCGTTTATACAAGATTGGATTCGTAAACATTTTTTAACACAGGAATTTAGTGTAACTCGATTCATCGGAATTACTTTACTCGTTTCAATTTGGAGTAGCGATTTGTTGATACTAACTCACCATGTCGAATACTTAGAGGGCTAGTAGGACTCCTTGGGTGTTCCGATTGTGTTTCGTTCTGCTGTTGTTGATGTTGATGTTGGTGTTCCTCTGAGGATGCAATCGACGTTGCTCCGTTCATGGTGCGTCGATAAGCATTCCTCGTAAAAACAAGACAATCAACTGTAACATGGTTCGATCCATAAGCGTTACTACATATGTGGTATTATATATATCGTTGATGTAATAACAAGTACTAAATCTCAAGAATTTTTCTCACAGACAATACTTTATTCTATCATGTTAATAAGTATTATATTTTAGATCATTTTTAATGCTCCAACATTTTCATGAAAATAGCAATACTTAAAGGAAGAACGGAACAAGACATTTGGATAGTTTTATTTATTTTATTATGTATAAAGATTAGTCTTCCATTCGTACTGTTGAGAACAACAAACACATGACAAGTCTATAGTTTTTTTATATGCTCTATACCAGCACTAAAGACACGTGCCTGAAGTATTTATATGTATATGTATATGCATATTTACTACATTTATAGAGAAATTAACTTTTTTTTTTTTTTATCAAGTTTTGACATGCAAACATAAACACAGTGGAGACCAAGTGATAAATATGTAAAATAACATCAAAGATTTGGAAACTAACAAGTATCGCGCGTCAGGATAGCTTCGTAAAAATTACTTGATGACATTAAACTATATTAAGTGAAAAACACTATTTTAATACGCTACGATAAATATGTCGTAAGTTGTGGGCAGAGACAATGGCATGGTAAACAAGACACCTTTTACCAACTAGAAATATTTGATTGAATCAGATATTACACACTCAAGGTTTCTAGTTGAATAATTCTCCACGACTAGCACTTGACATATACATGTACACCTATATTTCTTATCGCAACAATAAAATACAGAATAAGATGAAAAGATCTGATGGAGAAATACTAAACAATGTCTTGTTTGAAGGAGAATTTACTTTGCTCGAGTCACTCACGCAGCATCACTCGTGACCCTGTCATCAAGAACACTTTTCCTAATGGAAATGAAACGTCACACTTGCAAAGGATACAGACACACCAGAAAATAGACCGGAGTCGATTCTATCCTCAGAGTGTCACACTAGTCTTAAATCTAAATTTCGAGAATTCTCTCACCTGACGAAGCTCCAAGAAGATCACTCGCGTAACACTCGCGCACACCAATAGTCCAAATTGTCCAAAGTCACCTTGGTACTCTTTTCTCGCACAAACTCTGAAGCAGGAAGCATTCCACGAGCCTGTTCCTCGAGAGTCTCACTAATTGTAAGTTTCGCGGCCCGATCTAACGCGCGAAAACTGTTCTATGGCCCGACTGGCGTCGTTTCAAGGATCAACTCCGAAACTCAGACCTTCCGAAGGACTCTGAACGCGTCAGGGTGGCCGTGGTGTCCAACGACGACGGATGACGTCTCGAAGTCGGCGTCTAGACGAGGGATCGAGGTTGGCCCGACGCGAACGTTCCCGTGTCGAGGTAGACGGCGTCGTTCGCGGATGGCAGACCGTTGTCCCGACGCCGAGCGTCCCGCGGGCAAACGGGCCACCGATTGGTCCGTTGGCACTTTTGAAGGCGGGATCAGGAGGCAACGCCGGAAAAACAACAAAAACGAGGAGCGGGAGGATTTAACCTATAGCCGGCACGTTTGACGCGGCGCTTCGCCGACGACGCTCGTCGCGGCGCCTGCGCGCACCCCTACGCGTCGGTTGACGCCTGGTCGACGACGCTTTAACCCCCACCCTCTCGCCACCGTCACGAGACGACGCCTACCTTCACCCACTGAACGTCGTGCAATTGTTGATCGTTGGTTACGTGGTAGTGAAACTCGCCCCCCCCCCTCTCTCTCTCTCTCTCTCTCTCTCGCGCGCGCAGCGAGATTGGCAAATTTCTTATCCGAGCCTAAATTTCGAGTGACGAACGTAAGATAGGCAGGGCAAATTTTCGTGATGGGTATCTATCCACTAACATTGTGTACAAGTAGAAGAATTAATATGGATTCTTTGAGTATAATTGGTTTCGATAATTTATTATTTGATCTTTTCAATCATTTAGTTGTAGAGTTTTGTTATTTAATTAGGGTTATTAATAGGGTTATTAATATTGTTATTAAGAGTTTTGTTATTTAATTAATAGTTGATTCAATTCTTACATGCGGTTTCTCCTTGATGAAAGATGGAGGCTCAGATGCATGCAAAATTCAGATGCAAGAAATTCATATGTTCTTATAACCTTGCTACAATTCCACAAGTAATAACAATTTCAAGGACACTAAACTGAGTTCTTGTCTGTGATTCTCGTCAAAATCAACTTCCAACATGAATTTCCAAAGCTAAAAAACTATAAGTAAAATAAAATATATGTAGATTCGAAGCAACGGAAGTTACCAACCTCTTCGTCACGAAGCTACCATGTCTACTACTACTACTACTACTACTACTACTACTACTACTACTACTACTTCTACTATATTTAACAAAAATTTCGTTGATAATCGATGCGTTTCTCGAGGATAGGCGACGTCTTGCAACCCCTAGACGCAGCCAGCGGGTCAGGGTTTGAAAAGACTACTAGTTAACGGAGCAATTAATCGTTCGATCGAACTTCCGATTCCTGAAGTGTTCCCACGGACAAATCGAGCGAAATCCACTGGGCTGCTGGGTTTAGCGGTGAGGTAGCAGCGTGGCCTCGGTAATAGCTTGCCGCGGGGATGGTAGTGGTAAATTCAGCCAGAGGGGTTGCCAGTCCGCCATGCTGGATTCCTACCGCCGAACGACCCTGTGGTTTTCCGGTAATCGTTGCCAGGGATGCAGCCAGGCACCCCCGTCCTCCCACTCTAAGCTTTAGGAGCTGGAGGCCACGCCCCGATGTTCCAAGGCGGACCAATGACGCCTGGACGTCGCGACGCTGCCGTCCACCAATAGGATTACCCTCTGATACGGTCTTTCGCTTGTCAATGACTGCTGCACGACCACCCTCGCTAGCTCTCGCTGGGGTGCTTTTCAATTTCGGGCCCGCGCCCTCATAAACGCAGCCAACCACCCGTCCACCCACCCCAACACACGGAAACAGGTCGGAGGAGGACTTCGATAGGCGGTCACGTACACAGGGAAACTCGGCAAGTGTGCGATGGACGGTGGCAGCTACCAGGGGCGGATGCGAAAAGGGTGATTGATAAAGACGCCTCGGGGTTATCTTCCGGTTTGAACGTGACGTTCGGAAATCTGACACATTGAAAACAAGACACGCAAGCAATGCTGTACAGGCTGGAACACCTAACTTTCATACTTTCACCCTATTGAATTTCCTGTACTCTGTACCTTTGAAGTCGTCTACGGATTATCTATATTCTTTTGTGTCAGTGTGTATCGGTTGGAACTTTTATGCAATAATCAATTTAGGGTGGATGCAATGGGGATGGTGTTATTGTTAAAATGTACTTTTCAATTTGAACTTTGTTAACACTTGATTTCTGATAGTCCTCGATTGATCAATTAATATTAAATCAACTATATGTACGATATATAAAACGTTTTTATAGAAAAATTGTATCACACCAATAGGAGAATATTCTAAATAAATTGCTTTTTTAAAAATATCGAACCCATCTTTGGCCTTCCTAACTGTTGAGATGTTTTGTCGTCAATTTTATTACTCAATTTATTGCATCAATTATTTATTGACTTTAGCATACGAGTTAATTGCCATGTTATCGATTTTCCACCTCGCAGACTTGCCCATGTAAGCATTTCACCAAGCCTGACTTAATTAAAATTAACCGCGCATTTCTTTTCCAAGATCTTGCTTACCGATACCAGATACATTTGCAATAAAGTTGACTACATAAAGAATCTTCTCGGCATTAATCACATCCTTTATATCATCCAGTGGTTATAGTTTTAATGTTATTTTCGAGATGTAATAACCGGTTCTCTCTACCATCGTACGAACCGAGGTGCAGAAATCTAAATACCATGTTTGCGATAGTTGATAAGGATTATGTAGCAAAATCCTTTTTTCATAACGATACCATCAAATGCCACATCTAAGACAAACTTTCTGAATTTCACTTAGTTTTTATTTTATACTTTTCCAGATTTGTTTTCGAATAATAAGAGTGCCGACTCTTGCTCATCGTTGTTAGATCTTGCAGGAAATTCTATATCTTCGATCCCAATTAAATTCCATCTTGGTTGTGTTGCCTGCGATATGGTTTATGCTTGAGTTTTTAAATCTATTATCACGAGCTTGGTTTACTTTAGGTCCGATCCTTAATCAAACTTCAATTTCGTATTTTAGGGTTCCAACATGCCAAACCAAGGCACCACTAGCTCTAAACTAATTTCATTTCTATAGATGAAGCTATAGAAAACGCACCCACGTTTACGAATATGTTCAAGAGAATCAGATGTACACAGATACTCATATCGACCACTGATAGAGAGAAAAGTCAGGTTTATACAGAGGTTCGAATACGAGCGTGATCTTACGTGTGTAGGTGCGTTCACAAATAGAAGCAACCATCCATCTACCGATTAAAACAACCGGAAACGCATACAGGGGATGAATAAATACTGACGTGTGCACCAGGTATATAATCGGCGTCACAAAAGCACAGATGTGTAACGAACACGCACCTATCAAAAACACTTTTCGTGCATGGATGGAAAGAATGTGTAAACGACAGTCAATTTGCCAATTATTTCGACCAGTTTAGTAAGCAATTATATCATTTCACGGCCAGAATTATACGCAAAGAAATGTATCTGAGAGAGAGAGTATCAATGTTATCGTGTGATTTTCAATCTTTTTCAGAGAAAGAATAAATTTGGTTATTCATTTGCAATATTTTCAATATTTGAATGTTTGTCTTGGTAACATTAAATTTATACTGAATTTAATTAAAAAATCCCATGTTCTCGGAGACTAAATTAATTAGAATACTTTATATCGTAACGTCACTTAAAATACGCAGACCGGAGTGTTCGTTTTTTGAATTACCATGCACGACGCAGAAAATCTAATTACACATATCTTGTACATAAACTAACCAAATCACATTTAACGTCTACTAAATTATAATAAATACATGCGCAAATAACTGGATCAATAATATGGACCCATAATATGACTTTAATACTTTTATTGAAAATTTTCATAAAATTCATCCCCATAATGGATCACTTGATCCACTCATAAAAATTGTTTACGGAGAAGAGTTGTAGGCACCAAACTCACATCTCTTTCACCAACAATTGATTCCACAAACAAAAACTGCTAAAGTAGTATTTAACGTGTATCAAATAAGTCCTTAAACATTATCCGAACTGTACCAAAGATATGATTTTAAGACGTTTATCAAACTGTTCCCTTTAACGGAACACCTAATCTGTTTATAAAAATCGTTCACGGAGAAGAATGTTCAAATCTACGTTTTTTCCAGTTCGTCTATAACCTCGTCTGAAGATGCAACAGTTTTTACTTCTGCCGAGGTTGACGTTCTCTGGAAGTTCATGAGAAGGTCGTCGATAATCCTGCATGCTTCTTCGTACACGGTCTTTGCGTCGTTATTTCCATCGATGATCGCCAAAAGCTTCTTGTAGTGTTTAACTATCGGTAGATTTCTTTCATGGAATTCCCTGATGTCTCTCTTGATGATATCGAAGTTGATGAATGGTCTCTCAGTGGTTGTGATGCTTCTGGCCATGATTCGATCGCTCAGGACCGAGTTTTGTACGTTCAGAAATAAAACGAGATCGGGTGGCCTCACTTCCCTGTCGAACACTTGGCACTGACTCCTCCGCCTCGGAAACCCGGAGACGATGATACCTTTCTTGTCGTGCAAATTGGTCAGAATGTTGACCGTAATCAATTCGAGCAATATATCCGTTGGTACCAGATGACCCTCCGACATCATTCGCGCCAACACAAATGCTCTCTCCGTTCGTTTCGCCACCTCTTGTCGGATAATATCGGCGCTGATTATCTTGAGGAAGTCGTACTTCTCTGCCACCTTTGAGCACAATGTTCCTGGAATGATCGACAACAAGTTCGTCTCCATTTGCAGAGTAATCTGAGAGTTGTAGAAAATGGGTCAACTAAACTCTGTATATATGTAGATGTGTATAAGTAAAATTTATACGAACAATATTTATAAGTTCGTATCACACTCAGGGAAATATATACACGTATATATAATATTATATTTCACAAAATAATTAAATTAAAAATTTACTTTACGTATAGTAAGTGTACCCATTCCGAATACACGTATGTACATATATACGTTTATTTAAAATGTACCATTAAGGTTATTATTGTTAATTGTACAAGGTACGATAAAAGAGATTTATCGAGCGATACTCGGACTAAAAATTAATGAAACTTGTAACTTTTTCCAGCTCCTGGTCCCCCAATGATAAAGATGATTGGCAAGCCAGATTCCTTAATCGGCTTAGTGTCGACAGTAAAGGAGGTGCTCGCAATTGAATGAAGCTCAGTGTCGAAAGGTTTTATACAATTGCCCATCGAACCGA